AGCGACCCTAGGTCACTTAACACCAGGTCACCAGGTCAAGATAAGTGATTACGCATCTAAACAAATCGTAATTTGTCATTCCTGCAGTTTATAGGTACCCTAGAAGTTTGAAACTCAGGCTATTGCGGGAAGGAATCAGCAGTCAGTACCAACAATTTGATTACATGTGTCGGAATTTTAATAGCGGTGACCCAAGGTCATATCCATTTGGGAACTTCTCCAATTCCATTAGGTACCTATAAGTCAAGGGGAACAAATCAACGGCATTTCTTTTGGACGAAAGTCATGCTTAACACTGATCAGAATACAGGTAAACATGACACGCTGAATCGAAAAATTGCACTCGTGGCCCATCTTTATGCTCATGATGCCATCTCAGGACTCGGGTCATCAACGGTCAGTTTTTTACAATAACTTTAGATTGAGACATGCTAGAAGGATCAAAACACGTTTGGTGCGCTTAGCTCAACGACACAAATTGACTGATGCAACGTGAACTTTTCCGTGACCTTGGTCCTTGACCCGAGCTAAAAATAAATAGGTATAACTAGAAGTATAACTATATAAGATGAGAGTAACTATAAGTTGACCTTTTCATGTCAAATTATAGTCCTTTCGGCGCATCTCGACGAGAGAAACGCGATGCCGATAAAAGCAATGTCATAAAAGCTTGTTGTCAAAAGTAACCTATTCAGCATAAGTCTTCCACAAAAACGTCAAATTTGATGCATGCTGAATTGGTCAGAAGGACTTTGTTTGACCTCAGAGGACCATATGTTGGCTTAATGGGTCCTTTTAACCCGGCAGTTGCTGGGGTATTTCGCCACCCACCGTTTGCTGGGGGGGGGGGGGGCGTTTAACGCCCCCAGCCGATAACTCGAGAACCAATAGGCGCAGCGAAACGCACGAGGCGGCAAACGAAAGAACGCGACGAGACGCTTCAGATGAGTACTTTAAAGTTGAATTTTGAGGTCACAGGTCAGTTCAAGGTCAGGTCAAATGCCTGAAATCGGGATTTCAGTGGCATTGACTTCAGGACTTCGCAATGGGCGCCTCTCGTCATAAACTCTGTCAAAACGGTGCACAATCCATCATATAAGGCCTACAAGAGTGTCAGCTCCATGTAGGGGTCAGTCAAGCATAGGTCAGGGTCAAGGTCAGGTCAACCGGGAAGGCACATATCCCCGAAAATCAAAACTGACATTCGCAGCCTGTGACACATGTTTTATGGGTAATTTGGGGCGTAGAACACGATGGTGACATTCATTTTATCATATGTGTACGTGTTTGGTCCAAAAAGTTCAATTTAAGAAATTCATGTATCATGGTCGTGAAGTAGTCACGAGAAATTGCCAAGATTCAGTTCAAGATTTTGGAAAATGCGGAACGATAATCAATAATCGAAGATAGCCATTTGATTGTTCATGGCATTGGCAGTCTAATGGCGTTTACGGCATGTCTGTATGTCTATTCTGTGATTTTATATGATTTTTTGAACATATGCCGTTTTTGGTCGAAAACTCAGAAATCATGACGTCACTAAAACCTCGATATCTCAAAAATTTTCCGACCGATTTTTTTGAAACTTTGTCACAATAATCTTCAATCAATTCCCTACAGGTACTCAAAATTTGGCGCGCCTGCGGCGCGCCGTTTTTATGCTATGGCCCGGCGAAAAAAGTGGGGGCGTTTAACGCCCCCCCCCCCAGCAACTCGCGGGTTAAGTGTCCTGCGGCTGTTCTTATGTTTGCCTCACAGAATCTGTTGTCATTGGTGCCTGGTGGAGCTTTTCCAGGGAAGTTGGCGGGGCAAAAAGTCGTCAAACCTACAATGTCCAATCATGAAGTTGAATAAAATGCCACTGGCCTGGCACACTAAATCAATTCCTATCATATTCATTACCGATATAATATTTTGCAATAAACAGACATTCCAAAGCTCTTCAATACGAAAAAGATTAATTTTCAAAGCAACAAAGTCTTAGAGATCAGCTAAAGTTGGTGGGGCAAAATCCCATCAACAACTGTATAGGAAGCTCCGCCCCTGTGACCTGTCTGTTGTTGCCTGGCCGTATGCAAGGCCGTACCCCGTATGATATATAACAGTAGATACCTATGAAATAGAATTATGCTAAGATAATTGAGGATGGATACCAGGCATATATTGACATTTTGAATGTCTTATTGTTATTGATCTGCAAAAATAGATATCCTCTCTTTACGTTGCTATTCGCATCCAAAGCATTGCTAATGCAGCAGTGAAAATATAGCAGCATTTTAGTGGTAAGTGCTAGCAGACATGTCTCTTACACCTTTTTGTATGTAAAATTATTTTGAATTAAAATTATTTACAAGCGTCTCTGCTATGTCCTTTTAAAAATATGAATAAATTATTTTTAAGAATCGTTTGTTGCTATATGAGTGCTTGAAAATTGACGAAAAATGTATTGGACTTGAAAAAGGACAAGAACTTTAGCTACAAAATGGTATAAATGAAATCAATACTTTCATGTACGCCCAAGTTAGACCTTTACAGAAGCCGCAGTCTAGGCTGTCCTTGGTGTAGGTGTTGTTGTTTTATTAGGGATTCGTGAAAATCAAACAGCGCTTTCGTCTATCTTATAAGTGGCAGTAGAAAACTTTTTCATCCGGTGGATGAGGCGAATGTGCTGCTGTTGCTGTCAATCCGGCGCTGTCGCTCAGTTGGACACGGATCAGGCGTGAGGGTGGTGGTCACGATGGCGAGCGGCACTACGACGAAATTTAGCGATAACTACGACCTTAAGGAGGAGCTTGGCAAGTAAGTGAACTGGTCCACTTGCTCCAGTTTTGATGAACCCGAGGGATTTGGGAATAGTGTCAGTGTATGGGCAGAGTTGGTAGCTTTTACATTGCCAGGTTGCAATGCTGTCACTCTGCCAGAGGTCTGTATGCCATCAGACCCTGACCGCATGCTCAGGCTGCACATTCCTTACAGCATGTGTAACATCAAAATTGTAATATGATTGCATGAATGCTGTAGACCCAGTTGGCCCTCCACGAGAACACTCGAGAAGCGAAATGCCCTTCCACAGAATGACTTCCGAGAAGCTGTGTGGTGGTTGCACAATGTTTTGTAAGCTGAATAACAGTGTAAAATTATATGTCTATGATTGATATGTTTATACAAGTACCATTTTGGTCAAGGCAATATCAAACTCAGTGCTAGTGCACTTGACATTGGGCAGCAAAGCCTGCATGATGTAGGCAAGAGAAAAAGCGAAAGGATGGGGGCAGGGTGGCAACCTGGTTGTATTTTGATGTGTCAAACTTGTTAGTTTAGGTGTTTATTATCTCAGGCACCACAATATATGCTTCTCTTCTCAGCTCAATTAATTCAATGTTATTAACAGCATTGTATGCCAAGGCACGTGCTATCAAACCAGCAGGAGCAAGATCAAATGGATATAAGTTTCTTGATAAGCTAGCTCAAACTGGAGAGGAAACCTTCCCGAGCACTCTCAAGAGTGCTCAAGGAAGATCTTGAATATGTTTGGTTATGATGGGGTATTATGGCAATGAAACCTAGCCTTAGAGACCATGGGTTTGCAGAACCTGCTGATTGTTCACGGTTGAACTAACCTGACTTGCCATTGACACATCGTTAAAAGGTAAAACAGAGTAGAAATTGGCAAGTATTGTCATCAGTTCCCATCACTACCTAGCTTTTTTACTCACTAGTAATTGACTAAAATTGCGCCTTCAAGTTCACTAACAATATGCAGCTTGTTTCACTGCTGCCATTTTACTTTCTTGTGCTAAAGCTGAATGCCTAGTTTTGTCGAAGACATGTTTTATGTGTGTTTATTTTTATTTTTATCCTTTTTTCCAACATACTGATCATTGGCTCTTTTTATTTTTGTTTGGTAGAGAGGAAATATTAGGACTGTGTGCTAACTAAATATGATGCTAAATGCTCATGGCATTATGTCTTAGTTCTCTTACTTTGTGAAGGGACAAATATTAATGCAACTACATTATGCTGCTGTGGATTGTGAAGAGTACAGCCACCTCATATTACTTCAGAGAACTAAGGCCATTTATAACCAAAATATTCAGTAGGTAATAGGTATATCAATTTTATGTGATAATGAAACACAGTGGTGGCATTATCAATTCTGGAAGCAAATAGATTGCCTCAGCCCTCATATATGTTGAATTCGGTGTATTTTAGGTAGGTATGCCTCTCCAGGGTAAATGGAAAACAGTTGTATTGGACAGGTAACAGGAAAGTTACATGTCTTTCATTTCCCAATTTCAACATGCATGTAAGTATGTACCAATGCTATTTGGCTAATAGCATACATGGTACAATAGCATACATACTCCTGTGGGGAGATAACTACAGCTGGTGTGTTTTTATGGATAGCAGAAATTGTGCTCGCGAGCCCAAGTCACGTACCTAAGTATTGAAAGGATGAAATTCCAGTTCGTCATTTATTGCCACTGAAGTGGCCTTGCTTTAGCCTGGCATCATGCACTAGCCTTGGACCGTTTGCATCGTCTCAGTTGTCTGCTGAAAAACCCTCAGCCCATTCATCGCCCTTAGCTATCTAACCTTGGCATTTGTTCCGGGCAGTGGCGGCTCCCCGATATCTCCCGATCACAGTTAGGGCAAGCCGCGACCATATTTGCTATGTGCTGCATTCTCTTCGACCTTTGATTTTCGGCTGATGCTACGTGTCCAACATGCTTCTCTCCGCCACTATCCCTCCATGCTTCCACGACGTCTGATAAAGTCTCGACTCCGCACAACCCATCATAACATGCGTCGCCATGCGCGCCTGTGTGTCGCTACCCTCGTCTCTACCGCTTCTGCCGTCTGTCAAGCGTCCTTCCGGGCGCTGGTCTATCGCGCGCTCGTGTCCAGTACGACGTCGGACCCGGGCCTGGAATCGCCTCTGCGGCCGCCGCACTCCGCTTATGGAGACTCGAGTCAGACGTAAACAGCGAGCACTGAGCAGTCCGACCTGTGGTTGCAGTAGTACTGCATCGCTCTCGTGGACGACGGTATTGCTGTGGTGTCTTTTGGTGGTGTTGCGGTTATCAGACACTTTGTGCGAATAAGGGTGTGTGTGTGTTAGGTGCCTTGATACGATGAGGAGTGAGTGATGCGAGTCTTGCGTGTTCGTGTGCGGTTCTAGCTGGTCACAGAACGGATGGCTCTTTGCTTATGCAAAGGATTGTGAAGCGCTTGAGATCGACGCATAGCGTAATCTGCTGGGTATGAGCTGATATCCAAAAGTGATCGTGATTCGTGCATCGTCCGTGAGCTCGCATTGGAAGAACTTTTGCAGCGTGTAGTGGGCGGCGCCGCATCGAGCAAGTGTGGAAGCGAGTCTGGCGAGTTGTGAGACCTGTGCGATCTGATCTTAACTTTTTCCACTTCAGTGAACCGAGCCCAGGCTCTGTCCGTGGCTAGCATTGCTCCCCTAAACCATTCCTGCTTGTGCCCTCACACAGTTAGGATTCCTGTTCAATGTTGTTAGAACACTGAACTGTAATCAGGGCATTGCTGCGTCATCCTCGAGTCGATGGTAGCGATAATGGCAAGACGGCGGCAGTGGCAGTGGCATTAATAGCAGGATCGGCAGCGCAGTTGGATTTTGATTCATCTTTCCGATTTTCTCGATTCTGATACGGCTAGGCCTACGTATGCATTGACGAAGTTATGCATCGGTTTATGTGTTTACACATGTCTGTGTTACATTAGCTTCTGATTCATTCACGTAGTTTTGTCTGTGGTGATTGTCTATATTTATTGGACATTTTGATATAGCATTCCCAATGCATCCAGAATGATTAAGAATAGACGGAAGTTATTCAAATGGTCCACTACATTTTTCCCTGTGGTCCTTTCCATTCGATTATGTGATTATATTATATGATTATGATTATCATATGATTTTGAATATTAACTGGCTCTTCCTCTTTGACAAATTGCCATCATTCATCTGTTTTTGTTTTTGAATTCTAAGCTGTTTCAAGCCTCACTGACTGAACATATATGACGTGGTTGACATGTAACTTGTCACTTACAGAATTGAGGATGGTTACAGTGTTTGTGATGCTATAAGACCTCATTCAGGTATGGAAGCGTAGCTGCCGCTCCAGCATGAAGCAAACTTTTCAATGTGGTGGGTGGTGACGAGATGTTTAATTTCCAGTCGCGTTTCATGCGACTGGGATAATCATTTATTTTTCTTAGGGCGACCTACCTATCTGCCGTCATTCTCAGGAAGGTCCCTCAATTGACTGTCGGTGCCTGCAGCATTATAAATGGCCTATACATTGGGAGGAAATTGATCATTGGACCCAGTCTGCCGTCTGGTCTGGTCATTTTCAGCTGAGCAGTGCCATCCATCTCGCCTTTCTCCATCAACTTCTCTCGGCGTTGCGTTCCCTGTCAGCGTTCGCCCAATCATTTTCGATAGAGATCTCCATTCCGCGAAGGTCATCGTATCCCTGTTCTTGGCACCGGTCCATATTGGTAAGAGAGGAACCACATGTGAGGCCGATAAGGTGTTTCAATTTCCATATATATCCGGGCTTCGGACTAGTCACGGTCACATTAAACGCATGGCGTTGTTCTTGTACAGATGGTCGCTCCAGCTGTATTGTTCCAGTGCACATGTCTTGCCAATGAGGATGTCTTCAGGGATGCTTACTAGCTCCATTTTTCTCTTTCTCCAGCGGGTTGGTGAGTGACCTTGACTTTGGCGTCCTGCCGCCCGTCAACTCTGCACAGTTCATGGATGTTGCACGCTGCACAATGCACATGCAGAGTGCACGGTGCATCATCGATCGATGACGTCATCCATGGCGGCGGCAGTGGTGCTGACGTCATCGCCGGAACGAGACATGGACGGGTATGCTTAGCGTGCTCTTTGATTTACGATTGGGCAAAGCGAATCAATCACTGTGAAGTCCTTTCAAGTTGTCATAAAACTATGGCAAGTGAGTTGAACCAAGGATATGCAGGCTCTCCTCATGGACACTCCCCGTACCTCCTGACGAAGCCAACGTGCTCTGGTGACTCACTTATGCTCCACCCTTCGAACACCCTATCCGGCTTAGATCAGCGCGTGGGAGTTCATGATTCATATCGAGGTGACTGGTCAAGCGCGGGTCCATTGTAGGCTTCTCGGTTGTCTAGCTGCTCGCAACCTGGCCAGACCCTCTACACCGTGTAGTTGCTTAGACTGCAAGTTACGGCAAAAAGTGGCTATGGCAGGAATACTGATCATTTCCATAATAGGATCGCCAAATGATGCATATTGCATACCGGTACCAGCCGTTTCGTGTAAGAATGCTGTATCTTGAAGTCCTTTGATTTTTCTCTATGAAGATTTTTGCCTGAGGGTAAATAGAGTTCGACATTGCGACGAGACTGACTGTCTGCCAGCTATAAATTGTCTGCACCATCGAACAGTGTCCGGATCACGCGACACCATTTGTATAAGTCTAGCTGCGGGTATTGGGTGCGACATTTTCCAACTCTGCTGCAGTCATATCGTGCACGGTCGTGCTGCATGTTGGAATGTTTCTAGACACTGTGGCGAAAATTTCCCGAAGTCTGCGGAGCGACACGGTCAGACCGCACACGATGTGTCCTCATTGCAAGTGTACTGTCTGGCGTCTTTTGACGTAGACGTTTGATAAGTGGACGGTGCCGTGTATTCTGCTCTATAAGAAAACAATTGACATTAACACATGCAGTGACAGTTTTCTGTTCTGCCACTGCATATTCTGGTTGAATGAGCGTTTTAGTATTTTTGTTCCCTTATCAGCTGTCGTTACATTTTCAATGCTACGCCACTGTCGTCAGTTTGACATTCAAGGGTTGTTATATTTGACTTTTTTTGCGTTCAACAAACGCTACTGAGCATGTATTTTTCCCTCCACTCCAAAATTTGTCTACATATCAGTGCCACATTCACGTCCAATATCCATATCGACAGGCACGGAGAACTCATAGTGTATTGCTGTGGTCAATCATTTCATTCAGTCAAACACCATTCATCTACAGAGCTAACCCTAGTTCGATACAAAGGAATCCTTTTGACAATCGACATATTCTTTAATGCTTATATGGCTTCCGCAGTTTATAAGAATTTTTCCAAAGCTCTCTGATCCTGCCATCGAAATTTTCCATCGTTTTTACGGTTTCTGTCTTTCAAAGCCAGTGGCCGTAATCTACAGCTGTCTTTTTTTGTAATATTTTCTGCTGAACTGTTGAAAAAGGCATATATATTTACGTTTCGGCATCTGCCTGATTGCCTCTCGCGTTGCGTCCAGCCTGAAGAAAACGCCATCGACAAGCAACCGACCAATATCATCCTGCCTCACATCTCTAGCCAATCAGCATACGTCTTGGCGCGACCTTGACCAGCAGCGCGTGCGACCCTGACATAGGTGGCGCCATGTTCGCACACGTGGCCTCGGCGGCGGCAGATTTGGCGCCAAAATCGCCGGTATCGCCCAAGCAACCATCGCCAAAGGAGGCGCCCAACTATAATCCGAGCGGAGAGTTTGCAGCGCGCTACGACGTCGGAGCCGTCATCGGAAAGTAAGCATCGCTGCAACCTGATAACTGAAACACCGCAAAAAGGCTTTTGTGTTTGTCTCAAATTAAGTATGACAAACTATTTTGTAAATGAATTCATTAAATCATAAATAAATGTACTGAACAATTCATTTAGCTGATACTATCACCATACTTCATACAATTATTCGTTGCATGACTTTTTGTGATGATTTAGTTGTATTAAATCATAAATGAGAGCTATATCACACGCAATTCTGAAGAAATATGTATCTAGCCTAACTAAAAACTTCCCTAGTTAATGAGTGAACACACATTTATGCTCAGGCATGCATTTTAAGTCGGCTAGTGCATCAAGTTTACAACCGGAGCCACGTACTCCATCTTCCCCACTCTAGGTACTGCAACAGCACGTGTCCGGCACCTCTTGTCGGCCGAGCCTTGCACACGAGCAACGCCATACTGTGGAAACGCTAGAGATAATTATGGTGGCGGGGGTGATATAATTGCGGGCCGCCCGAGCCTCCCCGGTCCCCCTTCCACTCCACGGCTGCCTCAGGTCGCCAGTGACGTCACTGCACGGTTTAGTGACGTCACTGGTGATTTATGTGGGTACGGGACGGACATGTGGCGGCCGTTACAGTTTATTTCGTATGATTTAGGATGTTAGCGTGATCAGTTGATGGCTTGATACACGAATGCACCCATTTCTGTCCATAGAAGAATGCAAACTTTTTCAAGAGAGACACAGTCACTCCCGTATATCTTTATTGGAATCCGTTATATAAACTGTTCTAGTTTGACCAAATTACGAAACACAACGTCTGCGTTTCTTGGAACAATTTCTCAACATCCTGTGCGCTGGCTGGTATGATAAACGTGCTGAAGCCCTCCTATCGCCATGTGCCTGCCACTCCCAAACCTCCACGCTCCTGGAATCCCGAGACCGCTGTCAAACTCTGTGACGACATATCCGGCGGAGCTCTGTGTGGGAGCGACGTGAAGTGGCGCGATGGAGAACTCCCGGATGGTGTTCACTTGGTGCCGGAGAGTTTGTTCGTAGGGACGATTTGTGTAGATGATGCAGGGATTCACCGCTGGGCTTCCTTTGAGGAATCTCCGCAGCCCGGAATGAGCGAATGAATGATATGAAAGCTTGATGTTTTGTATGTTTGCTTTCTTCATCTAAGCACAGCGATTAGTTTACACTCTCATACACGCTCACTTAATTTCAATTCTCCATCATAAATTATATGCCAGATGCATTTTACAGGCAGCGGTGAGCGGTTCAACTGTCAAAATTTCAGCGCACCGGTGAGGTCCTCTTCTGAACGCTCCCATCAGCCTGTACCACCCGGCCCGAACAACTGTGCCACCCGGTCCGAACACCTGTGCCACATGTGAACCCCTACCCCTAGCGGTCCCCTCTTCCACTAGATCATATCGCCTCCATTTCCGCGCTGTTTTGGTTCCCAGTTCCGCTACCGCCTGGGTTTCCTGCGGATTGTTAATTGTTCAATTAGTCCAACGCTTTGTCTCATTTTAGCGCGTTTGATATCTCAATTGTTTTTCTTTCACTGTGGTTTATTCATTATTGTAACACGCACTGTTCGATTGATAAGAGGAGGATTGATACGATTGATGAGAGCGTACTAAAGAATAGACGCCCTGTTTTATCATTGTCAAAATGACAGATATGTCCATTTTTTTGTTAGCTGGCATGATGGGGTCGATGAGGTCGGAAGTTATAGTGAAGCTCTAAATTCAGTTCAGAGCCTGTGGGCGTTTTGACTTCATTCGGGATTTATTTCTGACTGTTGCAGATCCAGGCCTCCGTAGCACATCTGACTATGTTGGAACCCCTTCCCTTCTAGCTTATCTGGCTATTGCAGAGCCTGGCTTCTTATGTAGCACATATGACTTAGCTCGAGCCCAACCCCTCCTGACACATGTGATTATTGCAGCCGTAGCCTGTTATATGTAGCACATCTGACTATGTCGAACCCAGCCCCTTCTAGCACATCTGGCTATTGCAGAGCTTTTGCTCCTCTAAGGCTTATCTAACTATGTTTGAACTTTGAACCCAGCCCCTTCTGTAGCACATCTGGTAGCTGTCAATGTGACAAACAACAGGACACCTGGCTGTCTCGCATCAGGTCCCTAGTATCGGTCCCTGTTGTGTTTATTTTTGGGTGTTTGGTCATGGAATGTGCATTTTACAGATCTGTTTCACTGGCTACATAATAAGGTGGATGCTTTGGTCGGGGGCTTAACCCGCGCACCGACGGGGGTCTGCGCCAACTTAGTACCGACGGGGGGGGGGGGGCGGATGACCGCCCCCCCCTGAGATCTCGAGAACGAAGCAAGATAGCGACAAGCGGTAAACGGCATCGGATACGCACGGTCAAGATCTACAATTTTTACAAAGGTCATTTTCAGGTCAGGTCAAAGATGACGTCACAGGGGTCGAAAAAGTCAAAATGGCGGCGCTGAATATGGAGAGAGTTTTTCTCGAATAACTTTCGAATTAGTCAAGATAGGAACAAACTAAGGGCATCATCGTGATCCTCTCGTCAATCCGCATCGAATGATATATATGTTGACCTCGAAAGGTCAAGGTCAAAGGTTGACCTCAGGTCACGTGACCTCGAGGTCATCATGTATATCATTCGATGCGTCTTGACGAGCTGAACACAATGAGACCATCCACGCGTCTGTATCTTGTTCCTGTACGGAGTTATTGGCCAAAAACCTTTGGTGACCTTTGATGACGTCACATGACCTCACAGCTGCCCAACAGCAAAACAGACCTCAAGGTAGTGAAGGTTGATCGTATATGAAGTCATGTATGGTATATGGGGCCATTCCGACCCGTTTTAGTGGTAAAAACAGGGAGTTGATTTTTCCCCCATTGACTTATAATGGGGAGGTCGCGAAATTGACCTGACCTTAGGTCACCGATATCAAAATTCCGAGATATACAAATTGTAGCTACTAATGACCTAATAACATCCTGCGACTTTCAAAGGCCTCCGACATCTACTGTAGCTCTGGCACGGTGACAAAGTTGCAAAAAAGTGACTTGAGGTTGGGTCATTCAAAGTGACCTGGTGACCTGACCTTGAAAGGTAGGAGGTTCAAACTTGCACACCATGTGTAAAATTGATAAGGGAATAGTCATACCAAATTTCGCGGCGCGTAGCGCCGCGGTTTTCCCGCTATTCGCGAAAAACCTCAGGGGGGGGGGGGGCGGATATCCGCCCCCCCCCGTCGGTGCGCGGGTTAAGTTATGAGCTCGTCTCTGAAAATTGGTGGTAAAATCAGCTGCGCTTGTTTTACGATGAAAAGTTGGTAAAACTTGTCTACACCTATGGACATTAAACACTTTTTCAGTACAAGCTATCGTATTCATCGGTAGTGAAATGCTATGGCCACAACTAAGCATTCTCGTCGCGTGAATGAACCGTTACGTCGCCTTTTTCTATAGTACCTACCGTCAGTTTTTCACGAGGTCTAGTTTCCAACCACGTGACAAGCGCATCCATCACTGCTGCCAGCACGTAACCTGGCTCAACCGCTCAGCGGTGGACCACGTGATCAGCCACGTGACGTCGCGGCTTGGTCTGATCGAGTCACGTTGTTACTGGAAAATTAGTCTTGGCTAACTGTGAGCTAGGAGGCATCGTTACCTACCTTTATTATCTAAGACGCACGCACTTTGTCGGAGGCTATGTAAGTTTTCTTACAACTCTGGCGGACTATTTTGACACGCGGAGGAGCCTCTCGGCTATTTTTGTGTCTGTTTTGCGGCGCTCCAGCTTATTTCGGCTTCTTGGCGTGAACCGGTTTTGTCCGGCAGTGGTAAGAATCAGCAGTCACGCCTCACGAAGATGGTAGATCGGATATGAAACGCTGTGGACTGGTATCACACACGAAATGCAAGCTGTACTTTTTTGAAAATGTTATGGGTATGGTGTAAATATGAAAGAAGACGTCAATTATCATATGCTGTAAATATGAAAGAGCTCCATCTTTTTCTCTTATTTATTGTGGTAACGTTTGAGTGTCAAATATCCTTTGTCTTTTTTCCTACCCAACTGCTTCATCCACCAAAAGTGACAACATTGTATTGCTTGGCGTCCGAGCAAACAAGTTACGGGTCACAAGCAAAGCAAACCCATGTTGGAACAGATGCTAGTTTTGCATGTCGCTGTGTACAAATTCCGTATGCACCGCACGTGTTGACCCATGAAAGTATGCTATTCACTTGCGACGTATATTGTTTACTCGATGTGGCTCAAAGATTTCTTGGAAAGATTGAGGAAGGCGGCAAGCTATGTGGATTGGTGATGCACTCCGAACTGAACCGAAAATAATGCATTATGGGTTTTTTAATGACTGATTCTCCAGGGCTATGATAGTTACATAGGGGCATCTGGCATCCTAGAGCCCGTCTTTTGAATCTAGTAACGAATCTTCTCCATGCGCCGCCACCATTGAGCAAGATGGCCATTTCTGTGATCCCTATCCAGTAATGTGCCTCGCAGCGGAGTCTTTCAGCGCGCTTCAGTCGTGTCCCGATAAGGGGCTGGCGGATACCCGATAGCACACATACTTGAGACACATCGCGACGACACATTCCGTCCTCAAGGTGCATCAGATCAGCGATGACATAAGCTCATGGCGCTACACGTGTATCTGTGTTCACTTGTGGCCGGGCGGGGAGGGGGGGGGGGGGTTAACGCGCCATTTTCCCTTCCGCATCGTCCGAACTAGTGCAATATCGACGTTTTATTCGCAGAGAAAGAAAACTTAGCGAAATTTTGCATTCAATTGCTTTCAATTGCTTTCAATTGCAGGACGAATAAAAAGAAAGCAAAATATCTAGTTTTGAAATTTAAGTCGCTACACTCCCGTCACGCTAGTCGCTACTCGCTACATTCCCGTTGGTGTAAATTGATAGCATCGGCGTAATGGCATTGTTTATGGTATGACGTAACTCCAGGAGGCGTGCTCGCGGCTAC